TGTTTCTTGAACCTGTTTTTAGAAGCTCCTAGACAAAGAATTTTGTTATGTTTCAGTGCCTCCTTATCCCTGGAGTTTTAACTCATCTCTGTCCTAAATTGTCCTGACTGTAAATTAGAAGAGTTACATCCAGGCATCTTTAAACTTTGACATATGCTACTGGCCAAGTCAGGCAAATACTTAGTAGTCAATTTATTCTTTGCACAACATGTAGTGTTTGTGAGTGTCTCCCTGATAATAAAATGTAATTATTGTAGATGTACTCATGGCCAAGAACTTACCACTACACTAATCACACTACCCAAAACACTGTGGGTATTGTTAGCTACCGAGCTACTTCAACAAATTATGGACTTGGAAATCTGAAATGCCCTTCAGGGCTGCTCAGCCATGTAGAGCATTGTATAATTTTCACAATTCTGAGGAGGAAGCAAGCTATTGCTTTTGGCCATCAGACTGGATGTTAATAGTCATTGTTCTTCCTCATTCCCATGACCATCCCTGTGGTATGATTTCCATAGCTAGTCAAACTATGCAGTTGCTTGGTAGTCTAATATGTTATGAGCATAAAAGTTAGTGTGGGGACTGTAAGCCAGTCCTTACATCTAGTGAAATCACATGTGTTGTGGTCCAGAAGTGGAGTGTAAGTGATAGCAAATATTGTGCACATATTGTTAGTGGCTGAGTTTCTGAAAACAAAATAAAATTCAAAAATATCTTTCCCAAGCTGCCAAGCCCTGTGAGGAACTAGTGGATGTATCATTTGAAAACACAGGGGCAAATTTTCAGCCAATGTAAACTGATTCAGCTCCAGAGGAGGTGTGGAAAGAGAATTTGTTCCCATGGAAAAAGGCTCTTCTTCAGGCCACAGAATAATGTGGATGTGCAAATGGTATGTTTTCCCCATCCTGCCATGGAATTTGTATAATATATCATTTCATCGTTCTGCAGTTCAAATTCCTTATCCATATGCTTGGGGTAACCAAGGACTACTGGACTGTCCTGAAAAGAAAGTTCTCCACATCTCTCCCCGTTTCTGCTTTCTCTCAATTGCACTGATTTTTACCATTGATAAAGTGGTTGCTCTCACATTACCCTGGCTGAAATTTGACAGCTTCTTCATTTCTGGCCTGCCTGTAACCCAGATATATCACCTTGTGAATACTAGATATTTGCATCCCAGCTGGTTGTAAACAATTATGTATAATCTAACGTAGAACCTGTGACCAGTATCACTTACCAGCAACCTTCATAAAACAAGATACTTTTACTACACAGAATAAGATATTAGAAAGAAGACTGACTTTAAAGCAATATGCTTCCATGAATCATTATTTCATGCAGAATCCACCAAGTATTTTGCTATTTTGGTCTTCTGTTATTGCTGGATGCGAACAAGAATGCCTTGAGAGAACATGATGTCCAATTGCTTTGGTATTTGACCTGGGACACCCATGTAAAATATATTCACACACGTAAGCGTCTCACACTGTTCTAGATGAAGGCAGGTATCTAACTACAAAATGCTGATGAAGGGACATTAAGGGTTTCCAAAACCATGACATACTGCTTCCCACACAACTGTCTATTCTTGGGCCAGTGGAGCAGTGTCTCCACGGTACAGCAGCACACACAGTCACTGCTGCTGCTGCTGGAAAGTACCATTTGACCCTTTTCCTAAACCTCCATCTTTTACAAAGTAAAGTTTACCACTAAGCCATAGGAGGTAAACAAGAGCTGGAATGCCTTCAAATGCTTGTGGGGTGACTTCAGAGCTCTGATCCTGCCAGCAAGCCTTCTCATTTGAGAGTGAGGAAAGCCTGTAACTACATGTCTTCATTCGCAGAGCTGCAGCTTACTATATATTTAAGACATGGTTCGTTTTTTCCCCTGTATTTGGAATCCAGCTCATGTGGTGATGTGCTCATAAATACGTTCTCCCTTTGTCTGCCTTTGTGCTACATGGAGAGACACAACAGTGTGGGTTCATTTCTAAATTGAAACTTTATGATGGCCCTTTTTTCTTCCTGGTATGCACAGGTGTCTGAGCAACTCAGCTGGAGACTTGGTACTGAATTCTGTTCTCAGGCATGGGTGTAAATCTATCATCACTCCCCCAATACTAGTTGACAGATATTTTAATAGCTTATAAATGCATACCTTGTAAGTGCAAAAAACATATGTAGGCAGAAGAGAGATCAGAATGAAACCAATTTTAATTTCGTGATAGAGCTCCATTCTTTCCATCCCAACAATCAGCACGGCAGGTTTCCAAACTTGGGAGTTACTAACATTTACTAAAAGCTACGTGTATTGCAGTACTTCACTCTCACTCTTCACAGACAGAATATAAGCTTTGTTATGCAGAAGCAAACTGAGTAAACTGCACAAGCACACATAGATAACAACTCTAATCACTGAAAATCAGTAAGGGCAAATTTAATAATTCAAGCCTTACCTGAAGTAGGTTTTGGCATGAAAAACACTCAGCTTACTATTTCATGCTGTATTATAGAATAGATATTAAAACCTATGAATACCACACAAGAAAACCAAAACAAAAAGATTGCCACATATTTGCTGTTTTAAAATATTTCCTTTTATTTTACCACATTTGGCAAACTGCAGCTAAACCCTGTGTTGTGGGTTGACCGCAGCCGGTCAAGCGCCCACACCCTCTTGCTTACTCCCCTCCATCCGCAAAGGGATGGGGGAGAGGATAGGAAGAGCAAAAGAGAGAAAAAATGTGAGTTGAGATAAAGGCAGTTTAATAGGTAAAAGAAAGAGGGGAAAAACAAACAATACAAAAGCAAACATACAAGGAGGCCAATGCCCAGTCCATCTCTGAGCAACGGACACCTTGAAAGCAAAAAAACCCCACACCACCCCTTCTTCCTCTACCCATTTTTATTGCTGACATAATGTGCTGGTTTTGGCTGGGATAGAGTTAATTTTCTTCACAGTAGCTAGCATGGGGCTGTGCTTTGGATTTGTGCTGGAAACAGTGTTGATAGTACAGGGATGTTTTCATTACTGCTGAGCAGTGCTTGCACAGAGCCAAGGCCTTTTCTGCCTCTCACCCCACCCACCAGTGAATGGGCTGGGGTGCACAAGCAGTGGGGAGGGGACACAGCTGGGACAGCTGACCCCAACTGACCAGAGGGATATTCCACACCAGACAACGTCATGCTCAGCACATAAAGCTGGGGGAAGAAGAAGGAAGGCGGGGACGTTCAGAGTGATGGTGTTTGTCTTCCCAAGGAACCGTTACGCGTGATGGAGCCCTGCTTCCCTGGAGATGGCTGAACACCTGCCTGCCCATGGGGAGTGGTGAATGAATTCCTTGTTTTGCTTTGCTTGTGTGTGTGGCTTTTGCTTTACCTGTTAAACTGTCTTTATCTCAACCCATGAGTTTTCTCACTTTCACTCTTCTGATTCTCTCCCCCATCCCACCAGCTGCGTGGTGCCTAGTTGCCAGCTGGTGTTAAACCATGACACATGATGTCATATGGTACGGAACATCCCTTTGGCCAATTTGGGTCAGCTGTCCTGGCTGTGTCCTCTCCCAGCTTCTTGCCCACCCCCAATTTCCTTGCTGGGGACAGCAGCAGAGTGGGAAAAAGAGAAAGCCTCAATGCTGTGCAGGCACTGTCCAGCAACAGCCAAAATATTAGTGCTATCAATACTGTTTTAGTTAGAAATCCAAAAGACCACCATACAGGTTGCTATGAAGAAAGTTAACTCCATCCCAGTCACACTCAGTGCACTCTAGCACAGATATGAAATAAGGATCTGATCTGGAGGATAACTGCTACCGTTTCACAGGACTACTATAGCTAAAATGACTTCTAAGCTATAGTTCGTTGTTATGAATGGATCAGGCTTTGGAAAACCACGTGCACTCATGGCACATAACGTGTCAGACGTGTCTACACATGATGCTTGCAGCAGGAGAGAAAAAAGGGAAGAAAGCCATATTCAGCTTTCCCCAGAAGATGACACAAGAGCATGGCATAGCTGAGGACAAAGGAGGTGCAGCCAACTTTTTTTGGTGAGGCAACATGTCACTCCAGGGTTTTTGGGTTCCCCCTGAAACCTGCCCTGACTTTGTCAGACAGACAGCTGGCATCACTGTGAAGGTCTTTGTGGCTTGGACTTGCACAGCAGGGAAATGGGACTGCTCTGGCACCCTTAGGAACCCCTTACAGCACGACGCTGGTGAGCATGCACTCTCTCAGGAGATGCTGCATTACACTGCAGAAGCTCACTGCCGACTCACAGCCAGGCAAAGACCATAACACCCCAGAGCCCACCAGAAAGGAGCAGGACTTCTCTCCCCTGTGCTGAATGGGAAGACTAGCTGCCTCTGCCCAGGGGTAACTTTTGTGTCTCTACTGCTATGGGAAGGGCTCTTGTCACTTCAGAGGCCCTTCCTGGAGGGGAGGGCTGGAGAGGGTACCCGAGGAGAAGAATGAGGGACAAATGCAGCTACATATCTCTATGCCCAGCATCCGTGTGGAGCTGCACTCAGGATATGAACATAACCTGTGGGTTGGGCTTGGGACCTGGTGGCTGGGGAGGAAGGTCTGCAACATCTTCTGGAGGCTGGCCCTACCACCAGCCTCACCATACAGCTGAAGAGGGGAGGCATCATTTTGGGATGGCTCATTTCTACAGCACTTCACCCAGCTGTTTTGATAACCTGACTCCAATGAGAGTTTTCATGGCTAAGAATGAAATAAGAATGAAATAAGCTCCATTAGTTTTGTTCTCTGATGTGAGAAGAGCTCTAAAATGGGAAAGGCCCATTCTAATTTTTTCCAGTAGTCTTGCCAAAGCAGCTTGGTGTTTTTTCTTGGGATCAAGATTATGGTTATCAGGAAATGCCGGTGACACTTGACAGCAGCATGTTGTTTATGCCTGACTCCTTTCTACCACAGCATTGTGCTCCCTTTGGGAAGAAAGAAGTGGAGCCTGCTCTACCCTTAGGGAGAACAACATCAGCCAAATAGGAGAATGTTCTGGCTCAAATTGTGTTTGATCAAGAAGAGGAACGGGTGGTCATCTCTGAACTCGTAAGGAATGTGGAGGCACAATGGTATTATAGTCACCCGTGTAGCAGCAGCTGCCTCAGTGCCTTCTTCATTAACTTCCACAAAGGACTTGTGAAGGGCCTTGGAGAGACTCTCTTCACAGCACAAAGAAATCAGCTTGTTCAAGGATGAAGGCATCCCTCTTCCCCAGAGTCTGCAGTACTGGTATGAGCTCACAGGTCTCCTCCATTCTGAACCGGCGCAAGTACGCTGTGATTTTTTACAGGTACACATTTTCCATGTTGTCCATTCTGCTAATTTCTCATAGGTGACAGCACTCTCTAGCTGCGAGGACAAAACACAGGGAATCACAGTCATGAGAAACTAGATCAAAATGCTCACAGGAACATTTTCCTTCAAGGAAAGGCCTGGTTTTCATGACAGGCAGAACCTGTGCCCTACAGCTACCAAGTGTGAAATCAGGCAAATTCAGATCCAGCCTTCACAGAGGGATCCTTCTCATTTGTTCACATTTTCACCAGAGACCATTTCACCAGAGACCAATATGGCATCATGTCTTGATCCTTTTGCAAGGAAGAAGTAAGTTCCCTTCGCTAGTGCTACATTTTGTCCACTGAAATAGGCATTAACTCCCTTGGAAATGCTACAAAGCATTGCTTTCGAGTAGGTTTTCTCAGTCTTTCTCTGCTCTTCTGAAGCAACCTATATGCCCATTAATCTCTCTCATCTTTACACAGGCAACAGCCTGTGGAAAGCCAGATAAAACCCATAACGATAAGAGAAACAAGGTTGGCCTGCATGGCTGCAAAGCATCTTGTTTAAGTACTGGATGGACAGGTAGATTTCTCCTCCTAGGAGAAGAGTTACCTGTTCAAGGCCAGTAGACTCACCACAGATGGATTCTGGAAGGAGAATGAACGTGCTGAGCTCTTCTCCAGTGTACAGAAGCTCCAGCTCTGTCACTTGCTCTTCTTGTCTCCTGGCTAATTTATATTTTCCTGCCTGACACATCATCAGTACATTCCTGTACTCTCTCTAAAATACAGAAAGTCAATCAATAGTCAGAAAAAAACCAGGAAAAATAAAGCAGATAATAAAGCCTGTGGAATCAACCTGCTTGAAATTTCTTGTTAATTTTCCATGAACACTCCTTAAATCACTGTATGTTTTTGCTGAGGGCATTGGCAGAGGCTTGAGCTCTGTGAAAGCCATAACAGTCGCTCTAAGGGCTTCTTGTCCTCTGCACTGTAGTTTGCACTGCTCCATTAACTCTTTCCTAAAGAACAATGCCAACACTACAGTGCTTGGGAAATGCTGACGTGCCCTCAGAAAGGTCTCCTCTATAACTTAGCCTCTCCAAGGAGGTACCAAAGCTTGTCTTCACATGATCTCTGTCATGAAGGCATTTGGGAAGAGGATGCTGCTTTCCCACTTCACAGTGTGAAGGCTCTTGGCTTGGAGAAATTGGGCCCCCACACCTGGGGCGGGCAGAGACTTGCACTGCAGACGCAGAGTGCAGGTTGCCAGGACTTTCCCCACTTTCCCCTGCTCCCCACAGCTCCTGTCCCAAGTGTACCTCGTTCAGCCTAAAAGGCGTTGCCCTTTGAAGTGCATAGCGTTGACCAGAGCTAGCGCCGTTGTGCAATCAACAGAGCCAGGAGGGAACAGATCTTTAATTTTCCCTTTAAAACAACAAACAAAGGTGAATTATGCTTTTGTTTTGACCATTGACTGAGGATGATCCCATTAGTTCCTCATGTGGAAGAATTGTCTGTTTGAGGCAAGAATTGATCTGCAGCTTTAGCAGAGTCAAAGCTCCCAGGAGCTCAGGGCCATCTTATGCCCCAAGCTGCTTTTACAGTAGCCACAAACAAAACTAATCACTCCATAGTATTTCTGAATGTTGCCACACTCAGGAAAAGGAAGAAACTCAGACACCAGGTATGGACTTCTCACATGGTCCTGATGCACACTCCCAAGGTAGCCAAGTGCAGGCCTTGTCCTTACCACCGGTTTGTTTTTCCACCGAGGAATTAATCTTCTCTCTGGACTCTTCAGCAGCATTAATGAAGTCCACTGCTTCCAGCTCTGCATGGTACAAGGCTCTTGTGGATTCTAATTATTGCTGCAAAAGAGGGAAGAGAGGTGGCTGTCATGATGGTAATTGGGGAGCCACTTGATCACAGGGAAGAATAGGAGTCCAAGAAACGTATGCCAACCTGTAGGTCAAAGCTCCCATGTGGGGCTATTTGTTCCGGTATTAATGTCCTGCATATGCACTGTGACTCTTCAGGAGAGACTTTTTGGGCATGGGGAGGAGCCAAGCAACCAAGTTCCTGGAACACCTTTCATGTAAGAAAGTCCCAGCTCCACTGTCTTCTAGTCTTGCTGTTCTTTGTGAAAGGATGTTCTGCTTTTTCACCATGACAAACATTTCAGGAAGACAGCAATCAGGGAGGGCAAGGCACGCCCCACCAGCCTGGCCATCACCCATGGGTGACCCAGGGGAGCATCACTGCTCCCCTGCCCTTGCGGAGCAGCCTCCCCACTGCTGCTTCCTGGCCCTGATTGCAAGCTGGCCCTCACTTCTCATCCCGCCATGTGTGGAGCCCCATTCACTTCAAAGCGCTGGCAAATGAAAAATAACATGCAAGGACTTCATCTCCCCCATTGTGCACAGCACAAACGGGCAGAAAGACCGCTCTGGGATCAGGCCATTAAAGCCAGGTCTCAATATATACACATGTGTGCAGAGAGGGAGAAACGGGCTGGACTCTTTCCTCAGGAACCCCCTTTGCAGCCAGGGCAAACTGGATTTTTTGGCTTGTCTGGAACGATGATTTCCGTGGAAATGCTCTGCACTACACTATTTCTCAAAGATACAAATGTGCTGCAGCATTTAAAAAAAAAGTAGACGAAGGGTGTTGATTCTACCTATATCAAAGCATGAAGAAACATAATTTTGGTGAAAATTGCTACCCAGGTCTTTCAAAAGTATTTTTATCTCCTCCTCAGCAAATGCAGGCCCTCTTCCCTGACTTTGCAAAGTCCATTTAATCTCATAAATTACTCTCTTCATACTCTGCTCACTCTGTTTTTCATCCATCTGTGAGAGCTTGCTTTTCTGTCACAATAGCAGCCAATACAGAAACGTGCAGAAACTTTATGTCCTTAGCAGAAGTTCAAAGTGCAGTACAGAAGTTTTTTTAAAACCACCAAAGCTGTAAACGATTGTCACTTACCTAAAGGAACTGAAAAGTCACTTCTCCAGAGAGCCTATTGGCAATGCTGAGGGAACATGTGGCACCAGCTTTGCCAAGGGCAGATAGAAGTTCCTGGAACTGAGAATGGGTTCCTCTGGCTTCTTCACACCGTAAGCAGCATGTAGAAGCTTGCTTTAGCAAGACACTCTCCCCTGGAGCTCCACCCATGTGCCCTCAGGCTAAAATCATAGTCACTCTCTCCAAATGCACTTGTGGGGCCAAGGAGCATGCAAAGACCCAACACATGTCTGGGCTTCCTGACCATCCAAAAGCACCAGGTCACACACTTGTCTCCCTCCTCTTCTGTCATCTCTACCTTGAAAAAGGATCATCCTGATTAAATCTGGCAACACTTTACGCAACAAAGCAACAGGGTCTCTTCTGCATGTGCACACAGGCTTCAGAGTTAGATAAGAACCGGGCTGAACTCTTCTCTTACCGTGCTTTTGGATGAAGTGCTGCCATTTAGCAGGTAAGACCTCCTCGCCCTGCTTTGCTTCATGCTACAATTCAATGTTATCACACAGTCCAGATACTATCTCACCTTTCCAGTGTTGCTCTTGGTTCCTGGACTTGGTGTGCTCAACATCTCGTGAATGTGAAGCACTTGCAATATAAATGCAATGTAAATCTGTGTAAATAGATTAATGAAGATACAAAGAACGCATTGATGTTGCACTGCAGCCTCACGGGCACTGCAAGTCAGATGAGCATATTTGGAAAGGAAAGCTTTGAGACCTGTAGCTGCCACCTCTTTCAGTTTGCTGTTTGTGAAGAGCGTGGCCTGGACTGCCAAAAGGCTCCTGCCTCTATTCCATTTCCAAAGGTAAGCCTGTAATATCACTTCCCAGAAAAAGGGAAAGTCCACCTTTTCCATCTCGTTGGCTATGTTGCCTTCGGCACCCAACTGGACCTTGCTCAGGACAGCTGAGATGCTCAGCAGGGAGAAGATATTTTAATTTCTTTTTACTTTGTTTAGCTCTTTGAAGAAGCTCAGGCAGAACTTGACGTTTGCTGCACTGAGGAAGCCCATCGTGGCATGGCCAAGACCTACAACAGGACAACTCTGTAATCCGTCTCACAAACATTGCCATGGTCAGAGCACACAGTGCTGGAAGAGTTGGAAAGACAGAGCCTTTCTCAGGAAGCAGCACCCCAAGCACCAACTCGCTCCTGGGAGCAGGTTTCAGACCACGCTTAGCACTTCGTAGCAAAATGCAACCCACACCCTGACCCAACAACCACCTCTGGGCAAATCACCCCTTTAGTCATACTCTTGCTCTTCCCCAGTCTGCTCCAGCTAGGTCCGCATTCACTTTCACAGCCTCAGGTTTTTTCCTAAAGGCTGTACGCTGTGTAAATACAGTCACGTAGTCCACACCCTGTTTTTCTTGCAAGAACGGCTACATGGTTTAGAAGCATTGGTCAACCTCCAGACACTGCGCTTCACTGAAGTATGTTGTCTAAAAACTTTTTTTGTTTGTATATTGTGTAAAACATAAAACACATTGTATTAAAACAACCAACAGAGAGACCAGTGAATTGGATTGCCAAGTCATAGCCAAACAAATATGTGGAAAGGCCTTCCTCTGCCTCCTGAATTTGGGGTAGCAAGTTCCTACATGTCCCAGCACTTCTAAGATAACTGCCTGGCCATTTATCTCCTTTTGCCTTTTAAGGGTATTACCAAATTCCCTCTTGCTGTTGAGTGAGCTTGTTCACTTGAGCAAAGAATTTGGCTACAAACTTCCTACATCCTGGGATTATTGTCACGTCCATGAAATGTGGAAATCAGCCCTGTGGGCAGAAACACCGCTTTTGCTCCCCTCCAGCTTCTGTTTCCAGTACTACCGGCTACCCTGAGGAAAGCTAAAACTGGGAAAGTTACCTTCTCCTGGGAAGAGCTGACATCTGTCTTCACTGATGGAGGGCGGTGTCCTGCCCCATCTTAAATCTAAACCATCCACTGTGTAGTCTGGCTTCCTGCCCAGTTTATTTCTGAAGAAGGTGCTTGCCCGGGGGAACCAACGGCCGACAGACAGAGTACCAAGAGAATGGATTTTCACGTCCCGCAGCAAAGTGGGAGACACAGTCCAGTCTCTTCTGTTTTTCACTCTCTGAAACAAGTAGTGAAAGAAAGAAATATGGGTTTTTTCCCCTCCCAGAGAGGAGGCACCTTGTTGGTGCTGCTGCATCTCATTAGATCGCTCTGCTAAATCATCTGAAAGATGTGACAAGCATTTGCAGACAGCATACAGTAACAGCAAGAGGGAAACTGAAACAAATCAGAAAATAAGAGTCTGATGAGCAGCGTTCAGAGAGACCCCTCTCCCTGAAGTACCTACGTGCGTCTGATAACCCCTGTCTCACGGGGAGCTCTGGTAGTCCTGCAGCAGGTGATAGAGCTGGGCCTATAACCACAGCAGGTTATTTCTTCTTTAACCCAGGCCTTCCCAGGGAGGTGCAATGATGCAGCTTCTCTGCTTGAGGGCTACCCTTAGCTGGCACTGCCTCCGTACGGGCACTTTGTCTGTCTCGGGGGTCCCAGCACGTTTTTCTTCCTGTGTTAGCAAGAGCCGGAGAGCAGAGGGAGCGCATGGTGGCCTTCAGCAGCACACCCCAACCTGAGTTTTGAGCATCTCCTGGACTGCGGGTCGGGAGGTGGCAGGCCTAACCAGGTGCTTCATGACCTGGTCCAGAGGGCAGAAGGAGTCCCAGTTAACGCAGCTTTGGGAACAGATCCTGGTAGCAGGATGCTCCCATATGGAGAGAATTTTAGGGAACAGGCTTTGTCCATTGACCTCATGCAGGAAAAGGGCAAGAGGAGGTGTAGCAAAGGCACCACTGGCCCCACTTAGGAGAGCTCAGTATGGCCAGCACTGCTGGTCACGTCTGGGGAAGGGCACTGAGCTGGAGCAGCTCCTTCACTCAGACTGGTGCTCCTTGCCCCTCCAAGGCTGGATGTGGGTTTTCCCTTAGACACTGCAGTTGGAGCACTTTCAGCTGAGGTGCTCAGCTCTGAATATTTGCTGCTGTACTCCAGCTATGGATCTGGTGTCCTAACCCCTACGTTTAGCCCAAATGTTTCAGAAGAACTGTGTGGGGAGCTGGAGGCATAGGTGGTTTTGCCTTTGGGCTTGAAATGCGCGTGAGGTTCACGAGGCTTTTGTCAAGCTCCACGGTCACCGTCGGTCTGCATCTCTGGATGGCTTGCACAAAGCAACATGCACAAAAGGCAGCGAGGCAGAGTTGCTCCTGTCTAGGGGCACAGGAGGTACGCCAAAGGCCCCGGGGCATGTCTTCCGGGATCCTTCATACTCACCACCCTTCGTGAACAAGGAAAAGGGCACCGCCCTGCCAAAGCACTTACCCGCCTTTTGACCCCGGGGGCTGTTCTGCTTCAGGAGCAGCCGTCAGCCTTCTGCAGCCTTCCCCCCGGCCCCGGCCCGACGTCTCGAGGCTGGCTGGGGGCTGAGCGCTGTGTTTATTCTAGGCCGGCAGGCACCGTGCTCAGCACTGCTCCAGGCAGGGTGTCGCGTTTCTGGCAGAAGACCAGGGGCTGACTCCATTGAGCAAAGTGCAGCTAAGCCCCCGTATAGGTATCACACGATGACTGCACTAATAGAATCTGAAAATACGTTTTGGGGGACTTTCCCCGACTCGCGCAACTCCGGATTGAGAAGGCCTTTCCCCCCAGCGGTTGCCCCTCTGCCGCCTGGCGAGGTAATTTCTCACTCGGCAGGAGGCCGAGGGCTGTGGAAAAAGGCAGGACCGGCCATCGGGGTTGGGGAAAAAGGCAGGCCGGCCCAGCGCCGAGCCGTGCTTGGGTCTGCCACATGCTGACAGGTTGCGGGGGGGAGAAGCGACGGGCGGCGGAGGACGCTCGGAACAGGGGCTGGCGGGGGCGTGAGGGGGGGCAGAGCTGGCACCGCGAAGGCGTCGCGCAAGGAAAGACGACGTCCGCCAGGATAAAGCAACAGAGGTCCTTCAGCAGTGCTTCTCCAGCGCCTTTAAAACTGTCAGTAAGCGTGTGGAAAAGCTGGACCCTGCTTCCAAACTGTACCAGTCAAGTGAGGGCGTAACGCAAAACAAGCTCGCAGCTGTGTGGGTGGCGGTGCCCTTACGCAAATGCAGCGACACGCCACCCCGTCATGGAGAAGGCGTAAGTTCATGCCCGAGGAGTCAGATGAAAAAGCTGCACAGCAGCACCCTCTGAAGACCCAAAAGGATGCTCACAACTGAAGTGCTTTGTTCATTGTTTTATTTTCTAGGCAGATACTAAGAGAATGAGGAAAAGCTCATGCTAACAGGAAGATGTAGGGCAAAATATCACTATTGTTCATGCACTCACCCAGGTATAGATACTTGTTTTCTGTTAAAGTGATACTGGATTAAAACAATAGTAGTCCTAGGAGCTGGAAACCATGAGACTGGAATCAGAACTCCTCTACTAGGTGTCCTAGTTACCAGTCCTTGAGCTCTCCCCTCGTATCATGCAGTTGCATTCATTCAGGTAAGGGCACAACTTCAAAAGGAAGGTTTTGAAGCCTTTTTGAAGTCGCCCAGCCCATGCTAAAACCTAGTGCCTGATGGTGCTTGGTGCATTCTCCTGGGAGACGCAGGCGAGGGTGTGGAACACCCTGAAGGCAGGCCCTTCACCTCCTGAGCCACATGATTTTCTCCACTACAGACATTATGTACCGTTTTCACTTAAAAAAATGAAGTCGCTTTAATGGCATTTTCAGGGAACCCTATTTGAAATAGCTTGCGCAAGGTCTGCTTTGAACGCATTCGCTAGATGTTCTCCGGGGACTTGCGCCTCATTCCACCTCATTCCTGGATTTCAGCATGGGCAAAGCACCTCATTGCTCACACTGAGGCAGTTCAGAGCAAGGAAAGAAAAGTGCTAGCTGCTAGAGAATTTACAGAAGGTGAAAATATAATGCCTACAAATTTTGGATACTTCCGCACGCATAGGAAAAGGGATTTTTCTTTCAGATGGCTTTTTGGATGTACATGCTTAAAGCCAGCCTACATTCTGTTTGAGAGTGCCACATCATATTTTAATGTTGCTTCTCCTTTCTGAAGCCATCTATAACTCTGTGCATTAAACATGTTATTCACTGATTCTCCATTACATATACACAGAAAAATACAGTCAGGAAGTGTGACTTCTGAATCTGGTTTTCATAAAGCCTATGAATACTTTGATGTAGTACCCGCTAGAAGTGATTACAATTCCATATAGAAAAGGAGCGTACTTTAGCAAGAAAATAAAATCAAGGATTTACTAAGAGACAATTTTTTAATAAACATGGAAATTGAAAGTCTAGATTATCCCACTGCCGTTACTGTGTGACTGACGGTACAGCTGGAGTAGAATAGCACCTTGTATAGTACAGAAGGCATGCCACTACTTACATTACCATCAGTCAAGGCCAGCCTTTGATGTGTGGTAATTTTATATTGTATCGAATATTACATTCTTATAATTAAGATTATAACTGAATAAAAGTTAACCTATTTATATTGATAATAAAATAATGTAATAAATTATGTACACTTTATATTGGATATCATACCATAGTTGAACCTTGAATTTGAGTCCTGATAATCTGTGTATAATAAGACCTTATGCAGGTCTTAACCAGAAGATGCTAACTAGTGGCACTGCCATCCAGCTATCCTTCAGTCAGATTGCATATTTCCTCCCTTGCTGCCCTGTTCAAGAGGAACAAGCCCCAGTATTATCTGAATATAGACAGACGCTACTGTACATTTACCCTGCTAAGTTGACTGGGCTAACAAAATAAAATACGGTATAACATGGAAGTTAAAAAAAAAGAAGTGTATTCAAAGCAATACTTCTGGATGATTTCTGAAACCATCAAGAAAGTGAGCTGGCACTTCCATATGTGTGTTGGAAGTGTGGGACAGATGGTCCATGAGAAAGGTGATGGAAAGTTGATGAATATTGGAAGCGAGTCTGGAAACCAGAAGTTTTGCAATGTGTCAGACAGAAAAGGGACACAA